TATTTGTACTCTGATTGTTACAAAAATTATATCAAAATTCATAATTTTTTATTATCTTTCATATAACACCAATATTGGAAATATAAAAATAAAAAATAATTTAACACTTTAAAAAATATTTGTTTTTTAAAGTGCTATATTTTTTTATTGCACTCTGATTGTTACAAAAAATATATCAAAATTCACAACATTTTATTGTATTTCATACAACATCAATGTTGCATATATAAAAGTCATAAAAACTAATTCTAGTAATTTTTCAATTTGGATCGTTTTTTATAGTGCACACAATTAATCAGGAGTGATAACTTAGAATAAAGCTGCACAAACTCCATTACTTTTATTTATTTTTTATTCTTTGCGCTAGAATTTGTGTAGTTTTATTCTAAGTCATCACTCCGATTAATCGTGTGCATGACAAAAAACGATCATAAACTGCACAAATTAATAGATTTTTTTATATGTGCAACATTGGTGTTATATGAAAGATAATAAAAAGTTAGGAATTTTGATATATTTTCTGTATTAATCGGAGTATAAATAAAAACGTTATAACAATTTTAAAAAACAAATGTTATTTTAAAGTGTTAATTTTTTATATCTATTCAATATTTGTGTCATATGAAAGAAAATAAAGGGTTATGAATTTTGATATGTTTTTGTAACAATCAGAGTACAAGTAAAAACTTATATCACTTTAAAAAACAGATATTTTTCAAAGTTATATACGGAGTATATTTTTTTAGTTGTATATATTTTATATTTGTGTCATATGAAAGATAATAAAAAGTTATAAATTTTGATATGTTTTTTAACGGTCAGAGTGCAAATAAAAAAGATATATAACTTTAAAACAATTGATATTTTTAAAGTGTTATATGAGGCAACAATAAATTAACAAAAAAAAATCTCATTATAATAATCCCAACTATCATCTTTTGACACTTATTAGACCCAATAAATCAAATGATTAGAGGTTCTCTCAGGTATAATTACTTTTTAGGTAGTTCATGGAATTAAAGAACCTAAAAAATATATAAGTAGATAGTTGAATGTAAGATATTATAAATATGTATATGTATACAGAATATAAATTATACAAATAAACAGAGTAAAAAGTTCAAGTTAAAATCTTTAAAGGGAAAATCAAAGTGTAAATTAAGTACAACTCAAATTTGAAAAATGAAAGCCTAGATTTTTAATATTAAGAAAGTGAAAAAAACATAAAAAACCTTTTTTAAATATTAACAAGGTATTAAATCTAATCATCCTAAAATAATCATTCATTTTAAATTAAGTTAATATCATGCTTAGTTTTTTATTTGGAAGGGACACGCTATAGGAGGATATATCCGGTAATGGACTATTATTGGCGAACAAGCCATATACTTGTGATTATACAAAATAATAAATAGTTGAGATTATTGTTAGCGGATCGACAATTATTGATATTATTATATCAATTTTTCCTTATTGATATTGTAATACAATTTGAGCCATTACATGTGTCGTGCACAGGATAAAATGAAATTTATCCAGGTAGAAATTGACTAAGTACTGATTCCGTGCAATTTAATTAGATAATGTTTGAGATAGATAAATTAAATTTCTTTCAATAGTTGATTATATGTGTAACTATTGTTCTTATGATAAAATGATAGATGAACTCAATTTATGTTTCGATAAAAATGATTAAAAAACTGATTTCATTTGGATGCAACTAAAAATTAACACAAAGACATTTTGAATTTTTCCATCGAAATGTTATATATAGAGCAATAGTGTGTTTGGACCGTCCAAAATAAGACTCACTCGAGAAAAATGTAGGCATCTATTGTTATAATCAATTAAATTCACACTTAATTGTCGATAATTATAACTTACATGAACATATGTATAGCATTACCTCTATCCCAAAAAAGTTTGCCATACTAACTTTGGATAATGATTTTAACGATTATATTTGTATATATTTTATAATTTTATGCTTTTATGAAATGTGTTTAATAAAGAACATTTTAATATAATTTTCATATTCAAAATAATTTTGTATTAAAATATCATTAATCAAAGTTGACTATAATTGATCAAAAAAAGTTAATTTGACAAATCTTTTTGGATTAGAGGGAGTAGAACAAAATAAAAATTTAAATGCCCTTTATTTTTACCCCATACATGACACGGGTTGAAATATAATACTAGATAGTCAATTTTTCTTTTGATTCTAAATTGAACTGAACAACTTCGCATAAATTAGATCTACCCGATAAAATATTATAACTTCTGTTTTAACATATTTTAACATTTAACTTACCAAAAGGATAACATAAATATGCACAGAAGGGTACTAAATGGAGTTTTGTTAAATACTTTGTTTGTCATGTATAACTTTGTCAATTATTTTCTTTTTTTGTTGTTTTAAAAATTGACATTTTCTCTTCTAATCAATTATTTTGCGGTTCATGTTATTTCTTTCACCTCTACACAAATCTTAATTACACATATCTTATTTTATTATTTTTCGTGCTGATCAAACTTTGGAAAGTCATAGAAGATAGAGAGAACACTATCGTTATGTCCGAGTAACTTAAGATCTCAATGGATCATATGATTGTAATTCTATTATTAAATATAATTATAAAGTAATTTAGTAGTAAAAAGTTGTTTCAAAAGTTGAGTATAGGTGAAGAAAATTAAAATGTTGAGAACATTATCGTAAAGTAATTTTTTTTCCATTGTTACTCAAATTGATTATTGAGCTTAGGTGATGAAAATTAAAATGTTGAGAACTCTAGATGTGGATATATTTTACGTATTATTATTTAAAAAAATATATAACTACGTAATTCAGTATTTATAAAATTCTCTACCAAAACTTGATATCATGTTTTTCATAATCAACAAGGTTTGCAGTGCTGGTTCATAACCGAACACACGCAAAAAATTTCTCTATTGGCGAAGCAGACTCAAGTGCCATAAAAGGGTAGAGGACACCTTCCAAGAAGTCACAGCAACATGACTTCAATCATCCACAGGATCTACTCCGTTTCCATTGCCCCCATTTCCATTGCCCCCATTCTTCTTCTCATTTGTTTCACCCGCAGCCCCAATCTTCCCGGCAGCTTTGAGCTTGGACATCAAAGTGGTCCTTTGATCCACAAGAGACTGGACTCAAAAATCTACTCGTTCCAGTGTTTTCTGGATGGCCTCTAACTGCCTTCCTACATCAGCTGCCTTCACTGGAACAAATTTATCGGAGAGCTCCTGCACAGTCCACTTTAGACCAAATCTGTACGTTGAATAAATAAGACTCATAATGGTCAGTGCATTGGTGCCTGTGACTGTCAACACTCCAGCCTTGCTTAGCACATCCCAAACACAAACAGCTGTTGTCTCCTTTTTCAACAGACCATCAATTGTCTCTTTGGTTGTGGGATTAACGTGGAGTTCTGCAGTATATTCCGGCACCGAGTCACTATAGACAACCCTGAAATCCTTGATGTTGGGTTCAAGTCGGTTCAATAGTCTAAAACCCGCAGCAGCAGAATGGCGAGACATATCTGGAACACAGTAGAAGAAGCCGAAGGTCCGACATAGAGAGGTCTGAGGTGTGATATTTTACGTTATATATTTACATGAATAATCTATAGTTGAGTTTATTAAAACCACACTCCATCTTCAAATATTTTTTTTTCTCAGGGGCGGCCCTAAGGGCAGGGGGATCAGGGGCCCTAGGGCCAAGAAAAATGAAAAAAATAGACCCATGTTTAGTTCTTATAATATGTGTGAGTAGACTGATTTTTCAGTACTAAAGTAATACTCCGGGTGGATTTGTTTGATTATGAAAATTTATGAGCATGTTCTCTACGAAGTTTAGATTATGTCCAAAAAACTTTAGTTTAACATTTAATCTAGAAGTCAGTTAAATAAATTATTGAAAAAACACAATGTTTCTATGCAAATTTTGGCGCAATAATTTTAAATAACTTATTTAACTGACTTCCCGATTGAATTTAGGCTGAAATATTATGGACGTAACCTACACTTGATTAAAATCATGCTCGCAATTTTTTTGAAACTCTACTTGGTAGTAGATTTGTCTGATATGATTATTTTATAAGTCTATTAATTGAATACATTCGTAGTTGATTGATTTCTTAATTGATCGTTTCTATCGAGTGTTGGTGTTATAATTTGTTGAATTTTTAAATTATTACTACGTATTATTTTGCCATATGAGATTTTAGCTGCTCGAAGAGTTCAATTAGCTTCTTTTTGGCAGGGCCAACTAGGGATGGACCCGGGCCAACTAGGGATGGACCCGGGCCAAGCCCGGACTGGCTTTTTTTTCAAATTGTTGGACCCAGAACTGGCCCGGATTGATACCGAGTCCGGGCCTAACCGGGCCAGCCCGGGTCAAGGTATTTTTTTTTTCGCTTTCTAATTAACCCCCCCCCCCCCCACCCCCCCAAACACTAACCAAGAAAAACAAAAAAAATTGAAAAAAAAAAAAAAAAAGCCCAGGCCGATTCAACAAATACAAGGCCCGAGCCCGGCCCGCCCAACCGGGTAAAAGCCCCAGCCCGGTTAGCACCAACCGGGCCGGTCCGGGCCCGCACAATGGCAGACCGGGCCAGTTCCGAGCCAGGCCGAACCGGTTGGGTCCACCCCTAGGGCCAACTACGGGTGGACTGGGCTCGGGTCGGGCTGGGGCAGGCTCCGGGTCAAAAATATTCAGGCCTGATACCGACCCGGTTAGAATAAGGGCCGGGTCGGGCAAATTTTTTTTTTTTTGTCTTTTAGAATTAATTCAAACCCCCACCCCCCTCACCCCCAAACCGCCCAGCCCGACCCACCTAGAAGTAGCCCAACCCGAAAATTTAAAAAAAAATATTTGGGCCCGGAACGGTCCCTAGTCCCAATCCCGGACCCCCAAGTCAGGTCGGCCCTGTACAGTAACGGGTCGGGCCGAATCGGCTCAGTCCACCCCTAGGGCTAACATACCAAGAGAGAGAATGTATGGGCTCAAATGTTTTACGCCTTAAGAACATATTACCCGCTTTTGAACAGCACAAAAAGGGGGAAAGGTAAAAGACACTGCAGCACAACACATTATGAACACACTGAGGGTATAGCATTTTGCTCAGAAACAACCAAATACATAAATACAACAGACAATCCGTAAGGAACATCCAAACATGGTATAAGCGAGGTCTTCACACATCATTATAGGTTAATCCGTCCAGCATCACAAGTATTTGAACAGAAGATATATCACTGTAATGAGAACCGCAATCCCAATGACTGACAAAAGCATGCACATGCAGGAGCAGCCACCCTTTGTGCGTTTGTTTAAAATTGCAAGTCTCTTTTGTACTCTCTGTCGAATGTTCAGGAAATCCAAGTCATCAAAAGCAATAGAAACACACAACACATGCACCATACATATAGCTATCGTATTTTGGCATTTGAATAAGTTACGTAGTTTATTTTAACCTGGTTCCAATGACCCGTGAATAGGTATTAACTGTGTTGTTGGAATCTATTAGGGAAATAAAATAGGACATAACATTCATACTAATAGCATTTTTCATATTTCAGAAATGAGCACAGTGTATTATTGTCATTCCCTTTTTAATTTCTCATGAACACCCTTTAGGAAGATCTATAATTAAATCCCTTCCAATATTAATTATTTTTTATTATGAAGAGCTAAACAAAACATAAACATTGATATTTTAGAGCAAAATAAATGCTTCCAAGAGAAGTATGCAACACGAATGTCACCTGCAGACGGGAGTCCGTGATATCAACATGCTGATCAAGATTATCCTGCATTGAGTGATAGGATTCCAAAAGCGTGAAATTCATTACTAGATGCCACATTTCTTAGAAGAAAAAAATCAAAGGGATGATACACGATAGCTTAAACTGATGGGGTGGAGAAGGTTTAAGAGTGAACTAAGAAAATAGAAAACCGGGATCGGACCGGAACCAGAACCGGTTTGGGACCGGAACTGGCCGGGGACCGGAAATAGAGATCCCGGTCCCGGTCCTCCATATATTCTTTCAAAGACCGGTCGGTCAGGGACCGGGACCAGCCCGGACCAGGACTGAGTCCATGCCTACATAAAACTGGTCCACGACACTTATACAATAGGTCACCAGGAGTACTCATTCCGGATTTCCTATTTACTTGAATCCATCCAAACAAAATCTATACTGCAATGAGTCTTGTTCGCAAGCTAAGTTCTTCATTGAGTCATAGCGACAAACAAGTATCTACACTGATGGATAAACTGCATGGAAGATACATACAATGAGCCTTGTTTGCAAGCTAAGTTCTTCATTGACAGCCAGTGCAATATGCTTGGTGCTTATTACTGTCTCCTCCAATTTCTCAAGGCCTTCATCTTGTTCTGTATAAGAGAAACACCAAGCAACTTAATCACATGCCAAGAGTCTATCAAATTTCTCTTTTATCCAGAGCAACAAAAACTTACAACTTGCCTTTCATTACTTGTCGCTGAAGACCTACAATACCAGAATTGTCAAGGCCATCTGTTCTGCTCATGACATCCACAGGCTTTACTTCTGGTCCGAGTAAGCTGTCTCTATTCGCAAAATGAGACATGTTTAAAGTGGATGCCATCTGTTTTGCTTTTGCATTTAAATTTGCAAGCAAGTCCTTGCGGCGATTCATCTCTTTCTCAGACCTGCATAAGAAGGCTGTAGATTCAGATCATGTACTCATAGGGAATAACAAAAAGACCTATGAGATACTTCTATGAGCACATAACACAAACATGTAGCAGCATTTGAGAAATTGCATAAGGATTGCACAAGTTCTAAAAAAGGGCACTATTAGAAACATCTTAGGTCCACGACCCTAATCTGCCTTAGGCTAATACACAGATGATATATTGAAGAACATAATTCTCTCAAAAAATGGAAGGAGAACAAACTACTTAATCTATAGACATTAAAACTGTGAGTGACAGTACATAATGAAACACGCCCAGTTACAGATGCCAACTCCTACTCTGTAGATTAGGAATGACATTAACAGAAGCGTCTGACATATTCAAAATATTACAGTGGCCAAGCACCAACATCAGCTATACAAAGTTTGAGATGAGAAGACTTACAAAGGCTGCTTTCCAGGTAGTTTGCACAAATGTGATTCTAAGCTACCGAGTCGAGTTCCTAATATAGTAATTTTCCTCCTAATAGCAGAAGAATGCCGCTGAACCTCTGTCCCAGTAGCAGGCAAGGAACTTCTTTCAGATATCATGTTAGTGATATCCTCAGCAAGCCTCACTGCTTCATTATACTCCTTTCCCCACGTATCTCCAGTTGATGCCATTTCCTTGTAAATTAATAACAAAAAAGTCAAAAACAAATCCATCTGCAAACATACCTTCTAGCATCATCAGTATGATTAAACTGGATGGAGAAGTTAAAGAAGGAAGACTTTAGCTTTGCTATGTGCGACTTAGTCTAGTCCCGAGTCTCCTGAATTGACTGAATTCTAACAACTGGTGAGGGGGCTGAGGGGCTCAGGAGTGGTTTTCCCCCTTTTGAGTACATTTTTTTTATGGAGGTCTATTTGTTAAACTCGCTAACCCACTAGCTCTTTCAAGGTGGAACTACTAAGAGCTGTTTGTCTTTCTTTCGGCATGTGAGTTGCACACCAATAGCCAGAAGTGATTTAGTAACTTCAGGGATTAATTTTGGGAATATTGGATAGTACTCCGTACTTCCTTTTTAAAAATGAATACAAGTATGCAACCGGTTTAGCTATTAGAAGACTACATTTTCTAAAGTTAACTGAAAGTGCTATAGTTTCCAGAACAAAATAATATTACCAAAAGTTACATGAAACTGAACTGAAATTATGGCATGCCATCAGCTGAAAATTAACAAATTTGAGAAAAGTGCAATTATATTTCTGCAAAGACTAAAATTAATTAAAAAGAAAGAGTACTAGACCGTCTTCATGATTACGCAATTTAGATCCCCAGCACTGCATTAAATCAATGCGTAAGAAATTATCAAACTTCAGTGACCATATCACGGAATCAAAGAGCAAGAAAAGCACCCAAACTTATGTCATCGAGCATCGAATTCAATTCAATTAATTAACAAATCGTTATCCCGAAATAAAAATTAATAAAGAGGAATATCACAAATTCGTATTTGCAGCAAGTAATCTAGCTTCAATCACAAGAGGGATATAATCTTGCCTCTGTCGTATGAATTGGAAACGGGATCGAATTTTCAATAGGGAAGTTGTAACAATCGGCTGAAGATTATATTTTGAATGGGGAATGGGAATCGGAGAGAGGAGACAGAGGAAGGCAAGATTTGTCGGGCCTCAACGTCGTCTTCCTTGCGCGAATTCTGATTGAGAGCGAAAAAAGGCTTTCTTATTTTACAGCTTAGATTAATACTCCGTATGATTTACTCAACATTGTAGCCTTGTAGGACTCGTCTGTCCTTTCTAAACATTGAAGTTAACTAGCTATATTTTCCTATTTTGAGTCTCATTAGATTTTGTCATTTTTAATTTGGTTATTATGTCACTAACATTGTTGGTATTCAATTTTGTGCACTTTTAATCCTTCGACTATTCCGAGAAAGACATTTGTGATACTCGTCTTTAAAAATTTCCACGTTTAGTCATCCGACTTTCATAAAAGTAACATTTTTTGTCATTCAACCAGTTATACAATAGTGCATCATATTTTTTGAGGAAGCAGAATTGTATGATGTGTATTTATCCTCATCAAGTGTATCGGACAATGACCTTAGTAGGTTAAATACACATGAGAATAAATTACAAATGAGAATTCTGTTGAACTCGAATTACTATAGTCTATCATTTGAGGCAATATGGATCACCACTTACAGATTATCAAAGTGGTGTGCAGATCCAAAGTGGTTTGAAAGTCATATACTCGATCCGTAGTAGATTTTTCATAGCCTATTTTTCATAGCCTATTTTCCATGGTTTGAAAGTCATAATGTCATCAACTTTGACAAACAACCTTTTATAAAGATATATTGTGCAACATTTTCAAGGATATCAAAGTTCTGGAGGAAGAAGTAGCGACAACTAAAACGTTGTACGGCACAAATCCTTTAGAAAATGACCACGTGGCATGGTCTACAAAGCAGGAATCACTTGTGTTAAGGCTAAAACTTCTTGGAACAAGTCCCATATTAAGTGGCTCAAGGAGGGGGGTCAAATGCTAAAAATTTCCACAATTTTATCAAAGATAAGCCATCAGTTATATTGATCGAGGACAGTTTTGGTAACACCTGTTTCCCCTAAAGACAACAGTTGACTTTTATCAAACTCTATATACACCAAGTCATGACTAACTATGAACTTTTCATTCAACATCCCAACACTTGTTTAAGGAATAAGAGAATGCAAAGCTCGTTTGCCTTCATGGTACAAAGGAGGTCAAGGAAGCAATTTGATCACTTAATAAGGATATTGCCCTAAGTTTGATGGTCATAGTGGAATTCTTTCAGAAAATGATGGGAGGTGATCCGTCATGATGTTCTATTAGTAGCCATATATTTTACTTTGGGTATCCTAGTGCTTCTAGCTATGTCCAGCTCCCAACTTGTTTTCATTCCTAAATGTTCTCAAATATTACTTTTGTGAATTTTGGACTTATTTTTCTTTCATCCTTCATCAACAAGGACACATACATAGAGTCAGTATGTCTATCTATATTTTCATCAAGTTAGGGGTTTCTCATGAATTGGTCACTTGGTTATGCATATCTTGGAGCCAACACATCTCTCCTCGCATATTCTTTTAGCCTTCCTAGAGAGTAAAAAAGGGGTCTATTCAGAAACCTTCTCAAGGGGACTCAATAATTCAAGAATCTTTTCACCGAGGGTTCTATTTCTCTTTAATTTGTGGCTAGGAAAACCCCTCCCTTAAATGTCTACCTTTTCCAGATGACCTCCTGATGTTTCTTAATAGTTTTTCGATAGCTCTTCTTTGTCTTTCAAAACCTTTGTAGGCATACCCGCTAGCCACTAGTCAACTTATTAATTATCATAAAATTACTTATGTTCGTGGCTCCTCACAAACTGCCTGTGGGAAGTAAGAAGATATGGAAAAGACTTCAAGGATGACCTACTCCAAGTTTCCATTTAAATACCTTAGTTTTATATTCACAAGGCATTAATAGATCAAAATATTGTTATTGTTATTGTTGTTGTTGTTGTTGTTATCTTTATTATCGTTATCATCATCATCATCATCATGATCATCATCATCGTCGTCGTCGTCGTCATCGTCATCATCATCATCATCATCATTTTCATTATTATTATCATTATTATTATTATATTATTATTGTTATTATCTATTATTATTAATATTATTTTAAAGAAAAAGGATTTTATTGATAGAGGAAGGAACAATGCAATGCAAGAAAGAAGTAAAACGAAAAACGGTATAGGAAAAGCAAAAAGAAAAGAAACATGAACCTTCCAAGGGAAATTTGTAGACTGAGACCTGAGTACTCATGTTGTCATGCCTTTTATTCATCTACAATTTCTTGTAAATTTTGAGTTGCGTGTTTAGATTGCCTATTGACATACAATTTTTTGAGTTTATGAAAATTGCTTTGCGGTAAATCATTTTGTTGAGTTTGAACTTCCTAATTTCTTATGGGTATGAGATTGGAGGACGACGATCGCTTTCGGTTGCATGTCCCAGAAAGTCGTCTGTGATGAAAGAGTCATCAGAATGCTCGAAACAGTTAGAGGTGTCTGTGTAAGCCTGGATCAGTGGTAGCTAGAGTTGTTTCAGGTATTTGTTCCCTTTATCAAACAATGAGGCACAATATGAGGTCCTGCTTTCCGACCTCAAAATAACTGGTTATTTTGAAGTCCATAAATTAAGGGTTAAAAGCGACTCCAAGTTGGTAATCAAATACCTTAGGGAGAATATGAAGCCAAAAAAGAGAGGATACAAAAGTACGGGGATGCAGCCCCTCGAACTCATCAAAAACTTTGAACAATCTGATCTGGTATGTATTCCAAGAGCCTAAAACGGGATGGGGGGGGGGGGGGGGGCAGACATGTTGTCAAGGTTAACACAAGATGCACCCGAGCACCTCACTCGCATTGCCAGAATACAAGAGCTGGATAAGCCGAGCATAGAGACCACAAAAGGGCAAGAAGTGTTGCTTATCGGGCCTGCACCAAGATGTTGGATTGATGATCTGATAAAATATAAAGAGGACGGAACACCACCAAATGATGAAGAGAAAACAAGGGTGGTTAGAAGACAAGCTCCAAGTTACGTGGTTCAGAACATAAAACTTTACAAACAGGGCTATAATGGTGTCCTACTGAAGTGCCTAAGGTCGAACAAGCCCTACAAGTAGTGAAAGAATTACATGCCATAATTTTCTCATCTCATCAGAGGGTGTTCACCTTAGACAAGAAGGTCATACTGCAAGGATATTTCTGGCCAACAACAATGAAGGACTGCGCCAACTTCGCGCGAAGGTGTGAGATATGTCAAAAGTTTCAGGTAAGTCCTGGGAGACCTACTACCGTATACACCCCAATCAGCATATCAATCCTCTTCTCCAGATGGGAGATCGACCTCATGGGACCCCTTCCGCAGGGCTCCAAGGGGGTCAGAAGTTTGTTAGTGTGGCAATCAATTATTTTACTAAGTAGGCGGAGGCAGAATCCATGGCCATAATCACCATTGAGTAGTTCAAGAGGCTCGTCTCGAGGAATATATTTTCCGATTCGGAGTTCCCTCGCAGATAGATAATCACCGAAAATGGAAAGTAGTTTGACTTTGAACCCTTTAATGACTTTTGCAGACAGTGGGGAGTGGAGGCCAGCAGAGCATCCGTGCCTTATCCTCAACGCAACGGACATGTGGAGAATGCAAATCGAACAATTGTAAGTTGCCTTAAAAACAAACTGGAGTCCATGGGAACAACCTGGATGGACGAGATAAACAACATACTTTGGACCTATCGGACAACACCAAGGAAAGCCATGGGAGAGGCTCCATTTGCATTCATCAGGGCTTAGAATTACAGACGCCAAGTGAAAGAGTACCACGATGCTAAGGTCATACCAAGGATATTTGATATTGGAGACTTGATCCGCCAGCCGACCTTTAGAAAGGAGAAAGTTCGCCAAAAATTGGGAGGGGCATTATAGAATCAAAGGAATAGTTGGGCCCGGAACCTGCAAACTATGTACTCTTGCTGTAAAGCTGGTAGACCGGGTCTAGAACTCTGAACATTTGTTGAAATTCTACCGGTAAGTTTGTACTTTTTTCCTAAGAGATTTTTTAACAAAATCAAGTTTTTAGTTCACAATGTTCTTTACACTTGGTAAAACTTGCGAAGGTCTTTTAATGAACCAGAGTCTAAAAAAAGGAAAGGGTCATACCAAACTAGCACTTAAAAAAGACGAAGTATGATTCCGAACTCATCCATTCTAAAACTCAAAAACAATCTTTCTCAAGATTAGAGCAAAAACTAACAACCCTTCCAAGGTTAAAAAGCCTTTATCACAAATCAGAACTTCCTAAACGGAAGAGGCAGCCTTTCTCGAGATTTTACAATGCTAAGGATGGATTTATAAAATTAATTTCACATCGGAAGGTTCTTAAAATAGAACCTCACTAATTCAAGAGGTCAACTGCATGTTGAAGAGCACCAACATAAGGCACACCCAACTTGGCTCCATCATAAAAGCCCAAGCGTACAAGTTAGTGACAGTCCCCCTTAAAAAGGAGAGACATCCTCGATCGGAGAATTCGAGGCAAAGCCCAAGTGAAAATACGTTGTGGCGGAAAAATTACTTAAAAAATGAGGCATCAAAATCGAATCACTCCCAGTTTGACGAATTCCCAAAAAGTTTGATTGGTCTAAAGGAAATGTTGAGAAGACCAAGAGCCATTTGTAAATTAGAGAGCATGCAAACCTACAGTAACTAAGGCGAAAAGCTACCACCAAACTATTAAAACTCCAAGAAAATCAGCCAGCCAGAATTGGGGTTGGGAGAAAGGAGGGGGGATTCTTAAATCAAGGAAAACAACTATGCACAAAATGCGACAAACAAGATGCAAATAAAGTGGGGAAGGCAATAAGCTACGAAGGAAGAAAATAAATTTATATATTTTAACATATGAATAAAACAATGACAAGGAAGAAGAATCAATGGTTGATGTGACTGGGCAAGAAAAAAACAGATGAAGAAAGTGAAGAGCTAAGCATATGGAGTCAAGATAACACACAATTAAAAATGGAAATGTGTTTAAAAGCTTATGCGGCTAAAAAAGAAGCGGACCAAAGAAAATGCAGGTTAGGGCATTAAGTTATACAAATAAAAGTTAATGTGGACTACCTTAATGTCATTTTATATCATATAATGCCAAATTACATGGTATTCAATTAATAACAATGAAAAAAACAAGATAAACAGTTTGTATATATT